GAGGCTAGCGCTGTCCTCTGAACTGGGAGCCAGATTCAACTGACCTTTGTCCTTGAGGCAAAGACCAGGTCCATGGGCCCAGGTCAGGTACACAACTGCCTACGACATTTTCACACAAGATCTCATACCAGGCCAGAAAGTAAGACAGGCTCTTGTCTCAACACCCTCTGCTCCCCACTTGCTCTGAACCAGCTCTGCGATGCAGAAGAGCATTGGCATTTGTACAACTATGGGCGGGGAGGGAGCAAGCTTGCTCACCTGGCTGAGATTTCTTTCCCGGGTGCAGCTAGGAGGCTGGTGTGGGCTGGCTGGGGGCGGGGGGGGGGGGGGGGGGGGGAGGACATGGAGCATGCGCTGTTGGGTCCTGGAACCTGGGCGGGAGCCCTGGGAGCGAAGGGAGGGGCTCTCCTCCTCGGGGCGGCCGTGAGCACAGGGAGCAGGGCTGGGACAGCAGGAGTCTAAGAGTATGGCATGGAGCGAGGGGCTGTGGCTTAGGGTGTAGGGGCGGATATGGGCTTGGGGGAAGATGAGCTGGGCAGGGCTGAGGCTGGTAGAAGGCAGGGGTGGCCTGTGAGGGGTCCAAATGCCATGCTAACATGCAGCGTGTGGGTGGGGGCTTCCACCTCTGGAAAGACGCCCCTGCCCCAGATGCAGCGTGGAGAGTGGCCCGAGAGGCACGGAGGCAGTTGGGGGGATGCCAGGGCAGCGGACCGCCGAGGGTGGGGCTTTCCTCTTGGGCAGCAGTCGGTCAGGGGCGCAGGTCAGTGGCAGGCTGTCTGCGGAGGGAGTCGTGGCATGCAGATACCCAGAATCTTGCCCGCCCTCCCTGGACCGTTGCTTGCCCCCTGCTCCTCTCTCCTTCCTTTTCAAGCCTCTCCTCAAGGAAGCGGGGTCAGGTGTGGCCACTGGCCGCTCACCCACGTGGGGACCAACCTTCCAGCCTCATCCGGGCACTCGGGCTGTGTCAGCTTTGGTTTCTAATGGGTGGAGGACAAGGCTCAGGAGTCTCCTTGGACAACTTGGGGGCTCTAAGATCCAGTCATACAGAGACCCGCCGGAACGGGAAGCAGAGAGCCCAGGGCAGGGACGCAGGGAGCAGGGAGGGCCCACGATGGCCCTGTCCTTCTTTGCATCTGCATCTCTCCTCCCCAGTCACAAGCACAGCAGCCCAGTGGATAAGGACTTCCAAGTGTTAGAACAGAAAAAGCACCTGCAGCCTCTCTCCACCATTTCCAGAGGCTTCAGAGGTAAAGGATGTATTCCAGGCTAAAGTCAGGTAATCAGCAGAGCAAGACTGAGATCCACTCCTGAGATCCAATCCAGAGTCTGGAGCTTTCCCGTGTTCATATTTTGTTGGATGAAACCGTGCATTCTGTGTCTTTGGAAATTCCCTGTGGAGGAGGCTAGCGCTGTCCTCTGAACTGGGAGCCAGATTCAACTGACCTTTGCCCTTGAGGCAAAGACCAGGTCCATGGGCCCAGGTCAGGTACACAAAGGGAGAGCAGGTCCCAGCCCTTGTTCTTTAAAGCAGGAAACCTCATGTCCTGCTACAGACCTGTCAGAGTCTCCAGGAGATCCTGATGCACGCAGCTCACCACATAGCATACAATGAATCAGGACATGGAGCTATGGAAGCAAATGTTCCAGGAATTAATTCAGGAAGTGAAGCCATGGCACATATGGACCCTGACAGTAGACAAAGACCTTCTTCCCAACAGCCTTAAGCCAGGATGGTCACAGTACCAGCAGTGGGCTTTTGCCAGGTGAGTGGGGAAAGGGATGGTATGTATTCCAGAAAATTCTTGTTTATTCGTTACCCATGCTTGCACATGGAAGACTACAGGAAGTATGGTGCTCATCATCCAAGAAGTTTTAGCTTTGGTAAAGGGTTTTTTCTTTAGCACAGTGAACCCCAAACAGTAGCAGGGCTCGGCACTGGTGTGGGCTGCATAGGGGTTGGGCGGGGAGCAGTGAAGAAGAGCTGGGTGGGCAAAGTTCCCGCCTCGGAGGACCTGGGGCTCACTATGGAGCCCAGAAGGGAGAGGTCCCGTGGGCTGAGGAGGCCCCTCCAGGAGAGGGCAGAGGTTAGGGTAGTTGAGCAACATGCAGCAGTCTTGCTCCCTCTGCTCTGGGCTGATGGATCCTTTTAAACTAAGACTCTTGGAAGTCATCCAAAGCCTTACCCTTTTTCCCAGGTGGGAAAGCAGAGCCCCAAGGGTCAGGGGGTGGGGCTGCCCCCCTACACAGAGAGTGGGGGCCTGAGACTCTCTCCTAGGACTGGGGCAGGGCCTCGGTGCCTGCCCACTGCCCTCCTCTCTGGGAGAGGGTCTGGGCAGAGGAAGCAGAGGTCTCCTCTCCTTGTGGCCCATGGTTTTCCCGGGCCAGGAGCTGGCACCAGGAGCATCCAAGCAAAATCTCAGTCCCCACCTTCTTTTGTGAGAACATTGAACTCTGAGCTGGCACTGAACAGAGCAATATGACCCAGAGGGAGGGCCGGGGCAAACAGCTCAGGAGACCAGAGCCCAGGGCCCTGTGCACCACTGACTCCGAATGACCCCAGTAAGGCCATCTCACTCATGGTGGTCCGAACCTCTTGGCCTCTTCCCTTCATTTCATGGCCATGCTCACCCTGTGAGATGCAGCCAGAATCAAAACACAAGAAGGAAACCTTGACTGGCTCATTCTTCCCAGCCCCCTCTAATTCACTATCCCAGGTTAGTCGAGGCTTGGCTGCTAGAAGAGATAAACCTCGAAATATCAATGATTTGACCTAACACGTGGTCCCCAGGTCACCGAGGCAGAGGAAGAAGAGCTGGAGGGTTTTCCAAGAGCTTCTGTGCCAGATTTAGAAATAACACGTCACTGCCCACATCCCATTGGGCAACCAGTCATATTGCCCAACATAACTTCGAGGGGGTTGGGAAGTGGGCGGGACTGCGTGGATAATTTGGTGAGCATGAAATGTCCCTGCCATCCTGTAGCCTCTGCCTCTCCCATAACTCCTGTCCTGGGTGCAACCATGTTCTTGTGTGCCTTCTTCCCCTCTCTCCATCATATCCTGACATATATTTGTCCAAATATCTGAGCTCAGGAAATTGCCCTCTTCCCTGCAGAGATGAGGTGTCATTCTCTCGTACCCTGAGGCTAGGTGCACACAGAATATGAAGTTTTCCAGGCTACCTTGGGCAATGAATTGGGTTGGAGGGGGAGCAAAAAGAGAGAGAGCTGGACACAGTGATCTCCCTAAAATACTGGCAGATTGGGGGCCCCTGGGCAACAGGGCAAAGCAATGCTTTTCCTCCAGACACTAGACCAGCCCTGATCTGTGGCTCTACGACTTACTGTCGTAGTCTGTTTGAGTGGCAATAAAATAAATAAGATAAAATTAAATAAATAAATAAATAAATAAATACACCAGACTGGGCAGCTTATACACAACAGAAATGTATTGCTCACAGTTCTAGAGGCTAGAAGTCTGAGATCAGGGTGTCAGCTAGTCTGGTGAAAGCCCTCTTCCAGGTTGTGGACTTCTCCTGTATCCTCACGTGGTGGAAGGAGCTGGGGAGCTCTATGGGATCTCTTTGATAAGGGTACTAATCACATTCACATGGGCTCCACCCTCCTGACCTAATCACCTCCCAAAGGCCTTCTAACATCATCACCTTTGGAGGTTCGGATTCCGATATGTGAAACTGGGGGGAAACACAAACTTTCAGACGGTAGCACCTACCAGCACCCACTTGTACCACCTGTGGATTTCAGTTCGGAACTCTTGGGGGATGATTTAATAGCTGCTGTTGCCCCCATAGCCTCTGACCCACTTCAATCTACATTTGAAGAAACCTTGGTTTGGGGTTAGGAGACCAGAGGTCTAGTCTTGCTTCTCATACCCACCAAGTCTCTGCACCTGATGGGTTCCAGCGTGCGCCTCATCTCTAGCACCATCGTGTAGGACTTAGAAGGTCCCTTCCAACACCAACAGCTTGTGATCTGCTATTTTCATGACAGACACCTGTGGGTCACAGCGCATGTTGGTGGCACAGTGGAGACAGGGGCTCGCTAATTTCTTCCCCCGCTAACCTCGACCCCAGTCAAGTCACGTCTCTGTGTGGTTGGGCGCCCCTTCCTCCCTCTGGCCCAGCCCACAACTCGGCCATCCTGGGCCAAGCTGAGGGTCTTGTCTTCTGTCCTCGCAGGTTCCAGTGCTCCTTGTGCTCCCGCAGTTGGGCCTCTGCTCAAGTTCAGGTCCTTTTCCACATGCACAAGAGTGGGGAGAAACCCAAGGGCAGGGTGAAGATGAGGGTCTTTGCCCAGAGATGTCAGAGGTGCAATCAGTCTCCATTTGAGGTTCCCGAGTTCACAGAAGAGAACATCTCAAGGATCCTGAACAACCTGGTGTTCCGAATTCTGAAGAAATGCTACAGAGAAGGATTTAAGTCCATGGAGGAGATACCTACCATCAAGGAAATCTCTCTTAAAGGGACACATGACAGTAACAACTGCGAGGCATGTCTGCAGGGCTTTTGTGCTCAGAGTGGGTCAGGTGAGGCCCTGCAGTTACCAGTGTTGCCATCACTTCCTGCCGTTAGCTTACCTGCCCTTGGGACCGCCATCCCCATGCCCTCTCCCACTAGGAGTGGCGCCCCAGCAAACACAGTGAAGGGGAACACCCGAGCGGACACAGTGAAAGGGAACACCCGAGCGGACACAGTGAAGGGGAGCACCCCAGCGGACACAGTGAAAGGGAACACCCGAGCGGACACAGTGAAGGGGAACACCAGAGCAGAAGCAGTGAAGGGGAACACCAGAGCAGAAGCAGTGAAGGAGAACGCCATGAGAAACAAGGGAAAGGCTTTACCCCAACCCCGGTATACTGTGTCCACAAAGGCTGCGATCCTCCCCACCCACTGGAGCTCGAGACCAAACACCCACCACCACATGGAGAGGAGAATCCAGGTCAGCACCTGGACTGAGGTGCCCTTTTGCCACACAGTCCAGAATCTCAGGTGCAGGGACTTTAATGTTTGCTGCTGTGTTTTCATTCTGATCATTGTTGTGGTGATTATCGTAGAGACCATTCAGTGGACCTCCACATGATGCCAGGTTCAAAGTCATGTAGTATGGTCCCACGGATAGGAAGTACGCAGAGGAGGTAAATCCAGAGACGGGAAGTAGCCTGGTGACTGCCAGGGGCAGTGGGGAAGGGAATCAATCGGTATGGGGCTTTTTGGGGGCGGAGGGTGGGTGGTGATGAAAATGTTTAGCACAAGATGGAGGGGGTGGTTATACAATACTGTGAATGCAGTAAATGCCATTGAATTGTTTATTTTAAAGCGGTTGATTTCATGTGATTTTTAAGGGTTAATGTTAATTTCAATTCAATGCAGTTTTGTGTAAAGTTCGCTGACATTCTGCTCATGCTCAGGAGAACTGAGACCGAAGCCTTTATGGCTCACAGAACTCTTTTGAAATCTCATGAGACCTGTGGATCAATCCTCTCTCCCCAGAGAAGCTTGCACAGACCCGGTGACGTCAGCCTGTGGAAGCACTTGCCGTGGTTTTCATTAGGTTGAAAGCCTGGGTCTCAAAGCAATGTTCTCCACAGCAGGGTCCGTGCAGCTCAGGGCTGCGGCAGGACCATCCACCCACGTGGGGGAGATAGCCTTCAAACTCTATTTCATGTTTCTTTGTACTTTACTAGTCTTGTTGCACAGTTTATAATGTGCGTTACTGTACTAGTAGAATGGTATTGTGACACAATGTGTAATTAAATAAGTATACACCCATCTGGAGTGTGCACCCAGTTTCTCATTGACTTTTCACTTTTTCATTTTCAGAATTGAAACTCTATACGCATTAAACAACTCGTATTTTCTCCCTCCCCCTCCTCCCTGCTAATGCCCATTCTTCTTTCTGTCTGTATGAATAGGACTACCCTGAGGACCTCATAGAGGTGGACTCATACAGTATTTGTCTTTTTGTCACTAGTTTATTTCACTTAGCATAAGGTCCTCAAGTTTCATTCATGTTGTAGCGTGTGATGGGATTTCCTTCCTTTTTAAGGCTGAAGAACATTCCATGGTATGTATATACCACATTTTGTCTACCCATCTGTAGACATCTGGGAGGCTTCCAGCTCTTGGCTATTGTGACTAGTACTGCTAGGAACACGGGTGTACCAATAGCTCTTTGAGACCCAACTTTCAACATACTCAGAAGTGGAATTGCTGGACCATACGGTGATTCTACTTTTAATTTTTGGAGGAACTGCCATGCTATTTACCATAGGAATTGCATCATCTTACATTCCCACCAACAGGGACAAGGGTTCCATTTCTCCATATCCTCACCAACAATTATTTTCTGGGTTTTTTCGTTTTGTTTTGTTTTAATAATAGCTACACCAAAGGGTGTGAGGTGATACCTCACTGTATCTTTGATTTGGATATCTAGAAAATGCCGTTCTTTATGATGCACACTTCCTCTTCTGAGGCAGTATCAGAAATAATATTTGTACATCTCAGCACAGATGGAAGTATTGGGAACGCAACAGAAATGTGTGGGTAAATTCTTCACAGACGTGCTATTCGTTTTCTAATATTTGGGCACAGTCCATCTATTTAGCAAATTCCAGAAATTTAACATGTAATAGTGGACAAGATAGTTTCAAACACATGCCTAAGGAACAAGGGTGCCCAGCAGCCCATAAGGAGCTGGAAGCTGAGTGATCAGTGAGGTAGGGAGGACACGCTGGGTTGTTAATATAAAAAGGGGTTCTTAGTAGAAGGCAAGTCATAAAATGTTAAAGATAGAATCAGCCTTAGAAATCATCTTCTCCAACTCTATTTTTTACAGGTAGGTAAAAGGCGAAGTGATTTTTCCCAAGATTATACGGTGTGTTAGTAAAAGAGCTGGCCTTGCAATCCTGGCTCCCCAAGTCCCAGTGCCGATCAGCTTCCAGAAGAGACTGGAATGTGCGTGCACGCGTGTGTGTGTGCACATTTGCACAATAAAGAGATGGCAAATATAGGGAGATTCGAAACATCTGTCGATATCTCCAGACAGAGTCTACGGTGTTCAAAGATAGGCAAGGATGGGTGGAATGATTTGGAGTATGTCAATAAGGAAAACAAACTAGAAAATGGAATTTAGATCATCGGGACATTAAGGGAAGTAGATGTTGAACGATTTGTGAACTCACTGAAGACTGGCGTCAAGAACTTTAATTTCAGGAAAGAATTGGAAAGTTCTTTAAAATTCCAAGAAATGTTATTACATGATCAAAGGTTACTCTAATAACACATACTGCTGCCGACAAGTAGGGTGGGAGAAGCTAGGCAAAGTGGTGCCCCTATGAATCAGGACGTGGGAAATGAGAATCGCATAAACCTACACCCACCACAACACAACACCTCAAAGTAGGCTTCCTTCCCACTCAGGAGTAGTGAGAGATTCAAGAGATGGCATTGAGGTGGGAAGGAAGGGAGGCAAAGAAGGAAAAACAGTAACTGATTTCTGGAGGTTACTGTTTGCCATCATCATTAGGTTACCCTAAACTGGTGTTTGGCAAGCATGCCTAATGGTCATTTTAGAAAGCTCCAGTTAAGAAATATGATGTGGTCCTTGCTGGTAATTAAAATGTACTACTCGATGATTTCACCTAAGTGTCTCTGCCCCTTAACAATCCAATGTCTGAAAAAATGGGTATAATAATAAGCTTTTGGAACCAGAACATTTTTCTTCTAGGAATTACATTTTATTCTTTTATTCATATTGCTTTAATGCTCATACATATATCCTGCTATGGAAATTCCTTTTCCAAATTATGAATCAGTCCATATGCGTCATGTAAAATTTTCAAATCTCTATGATATTTCCACTGAGATGCCCTATAATATTGCTGCATTTTTACATTTACATGAATAAATTAAAATAGTATCTCTACAAATGTTATATTCAAACAATATATTTGGTATGGGATATAATGTAACATGAAATAATTATGTATTATATACTTTGCAATATTTTTTCCTTTGTTTATATGTAGCACCAAAACAAGGTTTTTGCACAAAAGACTGGTTTTATTGAAACAAATTTTACATTATTCATGGACAATTTGTGTGAAAGCCCCTATTTGCCCCCTTTTAAGATTTATTTTCCATTTGTCTATATATAATGTATACCTTGCCATGAAATGAAATTTCAAAATCATTCAAGTAGTACAAGTAATAAATTTCAATTTCATTTTTGAAGAGTTAAAAAGAAAAATGCAATTGTTTGAGGTTCAATTGAAGTGATTTCTCATTTTCCTACTCTTTTCATCTCTTAACCTACTTCTCAGAGTTTGTTTTCAACTTGAAGCAATCCTCCGCTGAAGCATTACCATATGGTTTTAGAATGTTCTGCCTGTTTTGCATCTGTTGAGGATAAAACACTGGGAATTATGATTAAATCTATCAAGACAAAATATGGAGGGTGTCAATAGGGGCCCCTCTGGAGACAGACTGTTCTTCAGATAAGAGAAAATAAAAATCACTCTTCCTGTCTTCCAAAAAACCCAACTGGCTAGACTTGTGTGTCCAATATGGCAGCCACCTGTGGCAATCTAAATTTAAATTTAATGAAAAATCCTTAATTATTCTAGAGGGGAGGGGGGTGGGGGGATGGGTTAGCCTGGTGATGGGTATTAAAGAGGGCACGTTCTGTGTGGAGCACTGGGTGTTATGCACAAACAATGAATCATGGAACACTACATCAAAAACTAATGATGTAATGTATGGTGATTAACATAACAATAAAAAATTTTTAAAAATCCTTAATTAAAAGTTCTTCACTTATACCAGTCATTATTCAAGTAGTCAACCACGTGTGTCTGGTGGTCACTACATTTGGACAGCACAGTTAAAGAACATTTCCATCACTGCAGAAAATTTTATTGGATGGCACTGAACTAGACCATGTAGGAGTCAATTCATATAGGAATATACGTGAATATATGCACTTTTCCCTTCTTAGTCACAAAAGCTACTTGTTAAAGCTTATTTTCAATTCACAGTCCTGTTTCTTTTAGCCCAAAATCGTGGTATAAAAATAGACATTTGTACAATTTCTCCAAATCATGTGATGTGGTGTAAGAGTCCAAAGCCCTATCATGAATCCCATCCTTGCCAACAAAAAACAGTCTCATGAGCTCCCTGTGGACAGCAGCACTGTGGCCTGGGCAAAGTCTTCCTGTAGCACCTGTCAGGAAAGCTTTCCTAGGCACTCCTCATCTGTAATGGACAAGTAGTCATCCTCATCCCTGCTACCTTGTAAAGCCACCTTGGAGGAGGAGTCCCTAAGGGTACTGCCTCTGCTCCCTGCTCTAAGGTGCATCCTGGGACCCCCGAGGTACCCACTCAGAACAGGAGGACCATCCATGCAGGCCACGTAGGGCTTCCCAGGACCAGCCAGGACCACTATGCCTCTGTGAGGACTCCCAGCACACCATCTGAGTATCCTGTGCCCGATGGATGGGCAGACAATCCAGCTCTTCTTTCTACCATCAATGCCCAAATTATACCTAAAGTCTTACAAAATACAATTAAAATATATGAAAACAGCAGTTTGTATAAACCCAAGGAAAGCTTTTCTTAATAAAAGAAATAATTCATTAAAACTCTTTCAAAATAAAATAAAATCTCATTTGGCTAGTCCCATATAAATGTTCTTTTTACACTCCCTTTATCCCCGGATTCCTAAAAACAGTGTAATCAACTTCAGATTTTGGTCTCTAAGTTATAATTTAAAAAAATAACACATTTTCTAAAATATTAAATGTGACTATTTGGAAACAAGTATATGTAAATGAACTTTTATACATAAACCCACTTAGCAATTCTCCAGTCCACAGAGAGAAGTATTTGCAAATGTGAAATCTGAAAATCATTTTTCCTAACTATGACTGTGGTTTCTAGACTTTGTCCTTAAATGCAAACCATTATTCCACAACACCAAGATTTATAGCTCCACAGCACAGGGAGATTCTGCAGTCTTCTAAAGGATGGCATCAAAGCTGAACGCTAAAAGATACTTTGGTGGTATAGCTGGGAACCGATTCTGTAACAAAAGAAACAAAGATACTCAATCGTTCCCCATTTTATCACAAAGTGTAGCTACAAAACATGGCTCATGTTAACACACAAAATACTACCACTTCTTATGTTAAACTACGGAGATAAATGGATTTATCTATCACCATTAAGTCAGCTTTCACAAATGTTTAGTCATGCTTTAGAAATATTTAGATCTAAGATAAAATTATTAACCCTCATTCTTTTGCAATCATTCCAACAAACTGACACAGCTACATCAGGATCTGAGAAACTGTATGACCCTAAAATAATAAAAACTGACAAAACAGAAATAGACGGCCAAGGACCTGAGGCAGCAGGTAAGACCCCAGGTGAAAGGGAAAATGGTTTATAAGCAAAGTTTGGGCTATTCCTGAACCAAGCATGATCTTAGTAAGTACCCCTTTACTCAGTCTTGCTCTTCTCACTGGTTACTGTCCACTCTCCCTTCACAGCCAAATTTTGTCAAAGGATGGTCTATACCAATGGCTCTCAAGGTGAGGCTCCCAGGCCCAAGGTGTCAACATCACCTGGGACCTTGTTAGAAATGCACACTCTAGGTCCTACCCCAGAGCTGCTGAGTCAAAATCTCTGAGGGCAGGGCCTGCAGGTGTTTCTTAGGGTCACTAACACTTGAGGACCAGCAAAGAGTTTCACTTGCTCATCATTCTTAAATCACATGAGTTTGGAGGTCCCCGTGACTCCCTAAAGCTACTTTTTTTTTCCCCTTAGCTACGGACTCTGGTCAAAACCAGCTGAGTATTGGCAATATCATATGAACCAATATGAATACATGAAAGACAGAATTATTATAATTATTTGGAAATAAGTGAATGAGTTCAAAAGCTATCATCACTAAAGTTAACCTTACAGAGCAAATTATTTTATCACTGACCAACAGATCCAAAGCTAACTACCTATTTTCTCTAATTCTTTCTTGCATTTTTAAACAATAGCTCTAAGATGTAATTATGAATAAATCTATAAAATACAACAATAAAGGTTTTCACAAGAGGAAACTTATACAACCCAAAGATAAATTTTGACAAAATAAATGGTTCTGCTATTTGTTTCATGTTTCATATAAATGCCTCATTTATTTCATACTATTTCAGCATTCAAGATTGGGGATAGCCAAATGGATTGGAGGTAACTGCATAGAGATTTGCTTAATTTAGTTGAAAAAAATTTCTAATTTGCCAAATAAATGGTATTTTTCATTGATGTCATGAAACCCCTGAATATCTGAATGTGACCAATCATCCTTCGTCTGGAATGTGCAGCCATCGCCAGGAAGGAGGTGGTTAGAAGAACAAAGGGTGCTTATGGCTTCTTCCTGTATTTCTGTGCTTACCACAGAAGGAAGGGCTTCTACCTTCCAGAACACTTTGGAAACAGCCTCTGGGGAAATAGCTTCCCGCCCTTTCCTGAGGTCCTGTGACCTCCCCCTGCTCCTGGGTATTAGCACCACCCTGTGGGAAACCAAAGCTAAAGGGATCTAGGCGCTAGTCTGCCACCTCGTGTTTTTCCTTTTGTGATCTTTACATAAGTGGACCTTGATTTATGTAAGAAACAACTTTTTCTAAAGTTGAATTTAAATGGATTTTGAAATGGAATCTTATTTTCCCATTAACCGGGATACTCTTTTGTCAATGTCATTTTGTTAAAAACTCATGTACAGTTAGTAATGCAACGTCTCAAGTGTATGTTTCCAGGCCTCTCTGTCAAACAGTTGGTGATGTATCAAGTATTCAAGTACACTGGAAAAATTTGATATTTAAAAAAAAATTATATGTATATATATATTTGGTACTTGGAAAAATAATCAATTAACCAATTAACTTTTTATCATTGTGATTCATGTCAATAAATGTGTTGCATGAGTACATGGAATTCCATATATTTATTTAAAATAATTTTTTTTAAGATTTTATTTATTTATTTATTTGAGAGAGAGAGAGCCGGGAGAGGGGCCGAGGGAGAGAGATAAGCAGACTCTGCACTAAGCACCGAGCCCAGTTTCAGGGCTTGATCTCAGGACCCCAAGATCATGACCTGAGCGGAAATCAAGAGTTGGATGCTTAACTGACTGAGCCACCCAAGTGCCCCTAAAATAATTTTAAATAAGATTAACGTACCTCTTTCCTTAACATCCTCGATATAGGCTTTCAAAAATTCTTTATCAAAGCATTGACGATCTCGTTCACTTTCCATCACTTCAACACCATCTTGACACGGGGTATTATCAAGAGGATTGTCCATAAGGCTTACAAATCTATTCAAGAAAGTATGGACAATATCACATTTTCACCTGTACATATTTAACCACAGAATTCCTCTCATAAGAAGTCAACCTCTGTGGTATTAAATCTCAAGTTCTTACTTATCTTTGAAGGTCACAGATGACCACCTAATATTAGCATCACCAGTGGAACTGGTCCATGGAATAATCCAATAGGCTTATGGAATCAGTCCTGCTCAGAGGCCTGCTGGGGGAATGAGAGCTACTCAACCACAAACAGAAGACAGCAGGCAGGAGGCCCTGAGGTGGACACTAACACTTGCTCTCTGTCAGACCCTTCACACTGGATCATGTCCTGCTATGTTTGATATTACTCCCAATGAATGATATCAAACTCTAAGATGAGGTGGGGTTAAATTATAAAGAACTCAGATGGTCAATATCCTTGCAACTGAAAAGATGGATACTCCTACCAAAAAAAAGAAGCTCAAGGACAGAAACTAAAATGACATTTGATCTCCTGTCCCGTTTTGAAAGATGATTTGGTGTGAAAGGCAATGTAATTATTTCAATTCAAACTTGGAAATCCCTCAAATAGTCTCTGGCTGCAAGTGTGGGCCCTTGCTGGCTTGGGTGGTATTGTTCTTATTGGTTTGTGGAAGCTCTATACACGTGGAAGATAAAGCCCACCTGTCCTATTTTTGTAACATATATTTCCCAGTTCTTTTTCCTTGTAATTTTATTTAATGTCTAAATTCGGAGAAAGCAAAAAGTTTTAAATTCTTTGTGGATAGATCCATGCAACTTTTCTTTTGCAAGCTCTTTTTTTTTTTTTAAGATTTTATTTATTTGAGAGAGAGAGAGAAAGAGCATAAGTGAGGGGGGGAGGGGCAGAGGGAGAGGGGACCCGATGCAGGGCTCGATCTCAGGATTGTGAGACTATGACGTGAGCCGAAGGCAGAAGCTTAACCAACTGAGCCACCCATGTGCCCCCTTTGCAAGCTCCTTTATTGAGTTAATTTTTATCATCTGTCCCTATCCAAAAAGAAAAAAAGAAAATGCCTATATTTCATCATTCTTCAATGTTTTATCAGAGTAATCACTGTAGGTATTTTAAAAACTTGAATAGTGCAAGGATACTTTTTTATTTAAAACTATAGTCTCTCACCCGACCTCTGTGTCTCAGATCCCCAGAGTCAGTCTCTTTCATCGGTCAATCATTATTTTTACTTAACCTGCTGGAATTCTCTTTTACACAGGACCAATACTTCAGTGTTGTTTAATCAAGCGGAGGTATTCCTTCCCTTCTCTTCAGTTCCCCAACCCTCCCACCTCCCAGTTTTTATGATCTATACTTTCACTTTTTCAACATTCCACTATGAAAATTTTCCAACATTCAGAAGTCAAGAAAATGCTACAGTGAACACACCCATCCCTACCACCTAGGTTCCATATTTAAGATTTTACTGCACCTGCTTTATCACACACCCACCCATGTATCCACCCCTCGATCTACTCATCGAGCCATCTTATTGTTTGATGCATTCAAAGCACGTCACAGACATCACGTACTTTCTCTTTTACACCGTTAACACTGACACCATCCGCATTCTGATCTGAAACCATATTTAACTTTTCTATCTTGCCTGCAGTTTGATTCTAAAATTGAAAAATTCATGTTTTTGTGACAATCATCCGGAAAGGCTTGGTGATGCCTTCATGTTTGAGGCTGAGACCACTGAATGTTGGCTGGGCACCTGCACATGCAGACCATGCTTGCCCAGGCTCCAGCCCTCCATGGGTGACCACACGGGCAAGGAGCTGCCAGTCCCCTGGGGAGTCTCCAAACACAAAACTCTGGGGTTTTTCCCCCAGGGCCACCCTAGACAAAACCTCAGGCTTTTTGGTCAGGTGCTGAGTGGTCTGCCCAATGGAATCGAGGAGGAGATTGGAAGGCGGGGGATCGTCTGTGTACATGAAATTATCCTTTCATTTTTTAGCACCCTGTCTCAATCTGCACCAACCCGGACCTGGAATTTCTGACCACATGCTTCTTCAGAGTTCTCCACGGGCTGATGGGCTCAATTTCTTGGTTTGGTCTCTGAACTTGAGCCCATTCCATTCTATTTTTATCAGTCACCACTGTTCCATCTGCTGTATGTCCCCCAAAGCGTGTTGACATCTCTCATTCTGTGAAGGCCTTCCCCTGCTTTCTCTGTCATGGGGGGCTTATAGGTTTTATTTATTTTTTTCCTCATCTCAATGGGATCTCAAGAAGGATAGGTGTTAAACACAAGGTCAATCCACACATCATTAACATGGCATTTATCGTTTTCTTTTTATAGTTTCTTTTTATAGTTTCCTTTTAATACTTAATCTGTGGCTTAATCTAGATGTCTCCCTATATGACACACAGCATATATATGGCTACAGGCCATAAGTTTTCTGACCCTGTAAAGTGAAGAACAGGCTTTGTCTTCCCTAATTAGCCAACTTCCCTAATGGTGTTTTAAGTCACTCAGACCTTCCGCACTGGTTTATGAAAACCCTGTATCATAGGGTTTTCTATGAAAGGGTACTCCCTTTCAGTACTACCTACTCTGTTCTTATCATTCATCTACAAATCATTGCCTAGCACCACCTCATTTTGATTCTTATACCTTTTAAACACATTATGATTCTCAGTAAGGCAAATTCTGTCCTGTTACTCTTGTTTTCCAAAATTATTGTCACCGTTCTTAGCTTCCTGCCTTTCAGATATCCCTTCCAATCAGTTGTTCAAGTTCCAAAAAAGAAATCCCACTGGAGTCATGGTTGAAATCACATTACACTGAAGTATAATTTTTGGAAGAAATCACGTCTTTATCTCCTTTTCATCCAGGAAAGATAGTATGTCTTTTCAAATACTCAAGACCTCTTTGATAGCCTTTGGGAACACTTTCTCATTTTCTTCACATAAGAGAGCTATTTTGCTAGCATCTTTTCTAGATTTCTTTCTTAAATTTTTATATTTTTGGCTAATACAATTACTGCCATCATTCTCTCCATTATTTTTCTATAGGTTATTTCTAAGAAACCAGTAAGACATAGAGGTCTTAATGCAAACTTATATCTAGTGTCTTTATTAAACTTTTATTAATTCAAAGAGCTTCCATCTGATTCTTTTAGATTTCCAAGTCCTACAATGACATCATTTGAAATGACTTTAGTTACCTGCACACAGGTCAGTTTTCCCCTCACCAGGAGTTCCCTTTCTGTCTTTGGTTGTGAAGCTGCTGCTCCTGGTTGCGTGAGTGTGGAAGGGGCTCCGGGGGGGGGGGGGGGGTCCTGCTACCCCTCCCACCAGGGGGCCTCTTCCCAACCAGAAGACATTCCTAGGACAGCCAAGGGCAAGGGAAGACCCATTCCAGTGGGAGGAGTATGGTGGGCCAGTGGGGAGAAGATGTCATATCCCTGTTCATCTTGTGCTTAACACAGGAATGAATTTAGTCTCTCTCTTTGCAATAGTTCACTTCTCTATTTCTGTCTGCTATGCATCTTACTGCCAGGATCGGAAGATGAGGAAGATTTATGCCGAAATGAGCATTTACCACGGAAAGAACTGGACATCTCTGGGAAATCGCCCCTTAATCGCCAATTAGCAAACACCTGGTATTCAAGGCAGATGGGTCCCCGGACACAGGGAGGAAGTGGCTCTCACTGGAGTAACCTCGTGTCAAGGTGGCCTGGAGTCAGCTTCAGGGGAGGGTGGGGCTTTTCAAGTCCACTTCCAAGGTAAAAAAGACTGTTCAAATGTCTCCTGCCAGATTAGAATCTGTATCACATTTGCAGGGATGGTTTTTCTTAGTTTGGGGTGGTTTACAGGTTCCTTTAAGGAAACCAGAGAAGCTTAAGACAACCAGGAGCCCTGGACGTGCGCTTTGTCACGTTTCAAACAAAGCAGCGTTTGTCCAGAAATCCTCCAAGATCTACTTCCTCGTGCCACTGGCCAAAAACTTCAAAATCCTGTAAAAAGGCATTGAAACTTCTGTGAACTGGGATTAGGTCCTCCGAGTCCAAGAACCATCCAATCTGGTTCCTGAGACAGGTGGGCGCCCAGGCTCCAGGTGCCCCTTACCTTGCGCGTGAATGTCTCTACAGGTATCTACTCACTTTAAAGGTGTGGATGAGTCACACAGGGCCGTCGGGAGCTCCACCAAATGGTCCCCACTGACAACTAACAAGGTGAGCTTCTTTAGGTTAAGCAAGGCATAAGGAAGATAACTCAGCTTGTTCTTATACAAGAGAAAGGTCTGCAGTTCTTCTAGCCTAAGAAGAAGTAAAACGGATTAGACTTAAAAGGATTAACTTCATGTGTGTGTGGGGGGGAAGAAATTCTGGTATGAAATCCCTACATAGTTTATTTTATGTATGTGACCCTATGAGAATAAACGGACTTTAAAATTTAAATAAAGTCATGCCAGGTGACACTATTTGGGTTTTTTTAAGTTTTCACTGGCTTAATTGCCAAGCAAAGACAAATATAACAGCAGGATAAGCAAACGGTGCATTATACATTAGTCTGGGAGGGGGCCTGACCAATCAGTACACCTCTCCAAGTGTCTGCCACATTCCCCGGGGTCAGCAGGGGATGGGAAAGGAACCCTACTGGAGTTGGGGCCGGGAATGAACAGATTTGGGCAACATGTTTCCTGGGGTATATCTTGAAAGCCCGATATTCCTCTCCCATCATATTTTCTAACTTTAAAATGGAAAGAAACCTGCAAAATGAAAAGGAAATGAGCAAAATGCGCTCCAGATATGTTTTATTTGTTTTCCGTTTTATTCTGACTCGGTGGACACCCCCCCCAGTTTTTTCTTGCATGCATTTGCAAAATCTTGACTGATCCCACAAATATTTCACCAAGTTCCCCTCGTGTTTCAAACTAAAACAATTCCCACTTAGTCTCACAAACCTGGAAAGCACCACTACACATCATAAGTACCCGGAGTAGAAAAAGGTCATGTGAGTGACCTTCGGAACTAAGTCAGTTTTGGCTTCTGTGTCAGGACAGCTTACTTATTATGCTCTATCTTTATAAAGAAGACTGTGGATCCCAGGAGGCCAGATACTTTGTTTCATTCACCATTTTAAACTCTGGGCCTGGCATTCAGGAGCCTAAAATCATTGGTGGGATGAATGAATGAAATAAATGAGTGAATGAATGGATCTTACATGACTCGGTATCAATTTTTTTTTTTTTTTTTTGAGCTCTATGCTCAATGTGGGGCTTGAACTCACGACCCCACAATCAGGAGTCGCATGCTCTACTGAATGAGTCAGCCGGGCAGCCTGGTGTAATTACTTTCTAAATATGAAATACAGGGATATAATTGGAAAAACCTCCTAATCATATCGATTTTGTTTGAAAAATTATGTGTGATAAATCAATAAATGAAACAAAAAAAATTATCACCGATATTCTAAACACAGAGTAATATGTTCCTCATCCAAAAATAACATATATATAAAGACATAGAGTGATATGTTTCTATTCCATATGTAATAAAAATACTTTGCTATTTCTGTGGGGTAAAGGAAAGTTAATGATGTCATTCTGTTGAAGACTCAAGCAAATTAAAGGTCACCAAGACAGCGGAGATGTGTTCAAATGCACACACATATGCACGCACATGTATGAGGCTGACTGGAAACTGTCTTATTTTATAAAGAATGAAACTCATTTCCCAGAAACAATAAGCTCTTGGAAAAGTCACTGATTTCAAAGACCATTCGTGTGTTATGCATGTTTAAAACGTTAACGGTGTCTAAGGCGTTAGTAAGTAATTCATACACCTCACCTTCAGAATGCGAGTAGCTACCTGTCTATATCTTGGGGCAGATCACTCAGACTATTGTTGCTGATATCCAACCACTGCAAATTACACATCCTCAGGACACAGACCGGGACACTGGCAAACTTGTTTGCTGAGATATCTACGAATGTAACTTGCTTCAAGTTACTTAACTAGAAAGGAATAACAACATATTCTAATTACTTTTGTGAGAGCAGGTATGTTCAACTAATAATTTTCAGGCGCTATTTCTTCCCAAAGGCCCTTCTAAGAATATATGCAACACAGATCAGCAGAGTATGTATCTTGGAGCGCTGATGCGGGGCGGGCTGAGTTCAACAGCACGCAAGGGCTGCCCTCCAGGAGTTCACACTTTTAAAAATAAGCAATGCCATTTTATGTAGCAAGAACTAATGTGAAGAAGTTTTCAACTTGGAGCGTTCGGTAACACAGACATAAGGGGCTAATGTGCCGACGTCACGGTGGGGTAAGGGAAGGGGTCAGGAAAGATTTCACAGAGAATAGAGTTTTTGCACTGGGTCCTGAGGTTCCTCGGCAGGTGGAAAGATAGGGAAGTGAACTCCAGGTGGGAAACAACATGTGCAAAGTCACAGAAGACAAAAAGCGCAAGCCTTAAAAAAACAGAATGACTTGAAGACAGCCACAAGGAGTGGCAAATCTTAAAAAAGACTCACATTTGAACTTGTGAGGGGCCATGGCAAAAGATCAGAAATCTCTACTCTTTACGTCCCATTTCCGTAATTTGTGTTTTTAACATGGTAACTGGATATGCAGGGCAATATTTTTTTTATTTCAAATGCATATCTATGAATATTGAATGGAAAAGTGTCTCATGTTTGGATTTTTTTGTAAGTTGGGTCATGGCTGTGACAATATAGACAAATAGAAGGAGCTACCTTTTACTGACTTATTTTCAGAGTCCACAAATAACATTTGGGCTTCCTCTCAGAACACATTTTCCAAACTTATGAAATATGCAATATGGAGCCAGTTGGACCAACAGAAGGAAATGTGAAATGTAGAAAAGAAAGAATCAGTAGGCTTATACCTCTCTTTACCTTAATATAATACCTAATTCCGTATTGCCACATTTGCTTTAGTGACACACAGGTCAAACTCACCCCCTTGAATGGGCACATTCTAATTTTGCTCTTGTTTTGAATTTATGAAAATGAATGTGAAGACAGTAATGTGACAGTGAATAAGCAGTCAAAAAAGATGTTTGGGGTGCCCATAATTCAGTCTAAAGTCTCTGGCTGTGTTGCAGGGGTTCTCAGACCAGCAGAAAAATCAAGACTGAATTACCATCAGCCTCTCATCTTTCTTCTTTTTACAATAAATGTAGAAGGTGCATTTTTTTCAGCCTCTAAAAGAATAAGTTCTCTCCTTTTTTTTTTTTTAAGATTTATTTATCTGACAGAGAGAGAGAGCGCACAAGCAGGGGGAGCGGAAGGCAGAGGGAGAGGGAGAAGCCATGGGGCTTAATTCTAGGACCCTGGGATCATGACCTGAGCTGAAGGCAGATGCTTAACCTACTGAGACACCCAGGTGCCCCAAGTTCTTTCCTTTAAATATCCTCAATAAATTAAGACTTCTGTGAAAATTAGAATAAGGAAAATCACAGTGGCATCAAACAAGCAAGGAGAGCAAATGCCTGGATATAGTCATTCCCCACTAGCTACTTTCAGCAAGGGCAAAACAAAACACTCAAACTCTTTTGAAAGGTAGTTATATTTGCCTGACAATTCTGGTGCTGTCCAGATAAAAATCTGACATTCAGTCAAAATAAATACAACACTCATTTATACAGAAGTTTCATTATCTCTACCTTTGTCTCAAAATTCCTGGTAGTTCCCTCCATGGGTCATTCATTCTACCTGAGGTCTGTTTGAACTTGAATTCAGGATTGTGAGAATTATTTGTGTGAGAAGCATCCTCATGAAGACAGGCACAATGATGCGAATACATTGAACCCTACCAAACCATACACTTAAAAATGCTCACAATGGTAAATGTAATGTTTTTAACCAAAGGGAAAATAATGTTCTAATGCCAGCATTTGGATACCGCATCCAGGCAAACAGTGCTGTCCTGAGTCTGTAGAGGTGAGAACCTGGTGTGCTGTGTGCTTCCTTTGGATACATACAAGTTGGACACATGAGGCTGAGACATGACCTGTCTTCAGCTACATAGTTTCTATTTATCCTGAATAAGCCATACGTTGAACAGGTGGCTGAAATTTATGGTCAATGAGAACCATTCAGGCTGGAAATAGTGACGTTATATACAAGAAGAGTCAGTGAGCTGTTACAACAGAGCCAACTGGGGAAGTATAACAAGTACAGTGCATTTACAGAATCCCATTCAAAGCAAAGAGCCTAAAAATCTATATCCCAAGTACATTTGCTCCCACCTATGTCAATATAGGTGAATCAGCAGGACATTGCTGTTTGCCAACAAAAACAAAACAAAACAAAAAAACAACCCAAATTGTGGTTGCCTAGGGCTGTTTAATATGCCAACTTATGCGGATTAACTGTAAACAGGTGAGACAGAATTTTGAGGGAATGATAAAAATATCCTAAAAGTGAATTACTATGGCTAAATCTGAAGGTCTATAAATTATATCTCAATAAAGGGGGGGGAACAGAGAAGGGACAGAGAGGCAAGCCTAGAAAGGTTGTTGTCCCAGTCCAGATGATGGACAGCACGGGCTTGGACAAGGGTGTTGGTGACCAGTTCCTGGGTGGTGGTCAGATACAGAACCTATTCTGAAGGGCATTTTCAACAGGATTTACTTAAGAGTGAATACAGGGCATGGGAGCAAGAGAGGTCAACATGACTTGGACTGTTTCCAGCCTGGACAACCAAGAGAAGACTGAGCCAATTTCTAAACTGGGGAAGCCCGGGGGCGCCTGGGTGGCTCAGTCAGTTAAGCATCTGCCTTCAGCTCAGGTCATGATCCCAGAACCTGGATGGAGCCCTGCATCAGGCTCCCTACTCAGCAGGGAGTCTGCTTCTCCCTCTCCCACTCCCCCTGCTAGTGTGCACGCTCTTTCTCTCTCTGTCAAATAAATAAATAAAATCTTTAAAAATTAATTAATTAATTAAAATAAATAAACTGGAGAGGCCTGGGGAATGAGCAGTCTCATAAAGGGAGTCATGCCCCTGGGTAGACGCCCTCACCTGGACTGTCGGGCATTTCCTGGGGCGATAGTGGACCGAGCCACTTCCTCCCACCCGGAAGTTTCCAGGCAAGGAGAGTAACACCCCATCTAGGACTCTAAGCAGCAGCCAGGGCCTTGTCTGGACCACACCAGCAACACTGTTTCCACTCTGTTCATTACCAGTAGGATTATGAGATCTCTATCTCCCTTCAGCATAAGAAGCCTGTTGAGTTTTGTTTGGCAACACTCTTTGCTCTCAGCTGCTCCATCTCATCAGAATGTGATTTTAAATCATTTCTCCAGTGAATACAGACCAAAAATCATTAATGAATATTGCTTAAATTAATGGACTTTTAAAATCCTATCTGTTAAGACTACTTTAGTTATCTACAAGTTTTTATGAATATATAAACTTTTAAAAAGTTTTTACCCCCTTTATTTCCAACTGTCTCCAATTTATTTTACCACTGTGGGTTAAATAAATCCAGATCTGCATTACAGACAACAGGCATCATACATTGAATAGGCATTAAATAAAAATATCTTATATGAAAACAGGACATTTTTGCCTAGTTTTGTTTGTTTTTGATAGCGTTTCTGAACTTAAATTCAGCTCCTGGCCTAGTATAAAAACATTTTAAAAGACCTTCTAAATCGCTGGTATAGGGCGATTGAAATGTCAAGAAAGCATGATATAATAAAGATGGATTTCATCTTGTAAACTGTCTTCCCTGCATTATAGATCATCCCATGTCATAAACCAAATACAAGTAAATCACAATGCCAATATGACTGCTTTCTTACTTCGAAGGGGAGCTCAGTTAATTCTAGGTTTCCAGAACAATCCAGTTTCTCTAGATTTTCACAGTCTCCCAGTTCTGGAGGAATGCTCCTTAGATGGTTGAAACTCACATTGAGTTCCTTCAGGTTCTTCAAACGACCTGTCATCAGAACAAATGAACATCCATGGGGAAGATCCTTTAAGGTCTTTTAATAACAAACACAAGACCAAGATATAAAACATTTGTATAAATGACGATGGGGGAGACATGAAACATAACTTTGTATTTGTTTTTTAAGCACTTGATTAAATGTCAGTTCGTCTTTTATCCTGAGCGTGTCAGTCCTTGATCATAGCATTTTTTTGCTTACTCTCTAGTTAATCCCTCATGGAACCATAGGCAGCCCCCAGACCTTCACCCCTCCCACCCCAAGAGAAAGAGAAGCAGTAATGATCACTGTAGTCTTCATTTTAGGGTACTGCAGCTGAACAGAAAAATGATGGAAAATTATAAAATGTTGATCAAAATGACATAATAGGCTACACTAAGCTTATACAGGAACAAATTGGTCGTATTTTATGTTTGAATGAACATGTCATTGCATGCTTAACTTTCTAAAACTAAAAGAAAATAAACAAAATTTCCTAAACACGGCATTGCTCACTCATGAGACTTCTAGTTTCTGAGCCATTGGCAAATGTCTGCCTATGCTGAGTTCTGCAGGTGGGATCCTGCTATCACTGCCCCAGGGGGACCTTGCGAACTAACCAGCAGCTCTGGGAACACAGGAAACAGCCCCGCCCAGCGGTGTCCTGGGCCAGGAGGGAAAGGAAGCGCCAAGCCACCACCTGCCCACCCGCAGCCTGCTTGCCAGACAAGAACACTGAGGCTCCTGCTGGAGAACATACCGATTTCAGCGGGAAGATGGGAGATTTGGTTTTTTGGCAGATCCAGAATTCTCATGGCTTGAAACAGCTCGATATAAGTAGGAATGATTTGAATCAGGGTATTACTGATGTGCCATTCTTTCAGGTGTGTCTGCTCCTTCAGTGAATCTGGGAGCTCCTAAAACAGAATGAATGACATCAGTCACAACTAGTTCCTCAAGGTGTCGGAGCCGAGTGGCGGCATGCACAAAGCCAAGTACAACCAGGCATTTATGTAAAAGGCAAGAAGCGAGAGAGCATGGGGGAGAGCGTCAGGCCTACCCTTAGCCCATTCCATAGCCCCTCCAGGAAGCCACTTTAAGACTCCGGGGTTGTCATTAATTTCACTCTGGGGTTGTCATTAATTCCACAGATTAGCCCAATTACAAAACTGCCGTTCATTCATGATATTAAGATCAAATGCCCAGTGAACACAGACAACCAGGCTCACACCCATAGCCATGACATATATTGTTAATTTACAACACACTGATTTAACATCTCAAAACAAAATCTGTCTATGCACTGGATTTTAAAATCTGTGCTACATTTCCCCTCCCTAGGTAGTTGCTTGATAAAGATCTAATAGTTGCTGTACCAAATTTCTCACTGTTTTTCTGAGTCTATCATAGGAAAGAGCACCAGAAAGACAGCAGGGAGACCTGAATGCTGGGTCAGGCTCTGCCTTTTTCCAGGGGCACCACCTCCCTCGGCCTTCATTTGTGAAGTGACAGAGGAGCTCAGCAGAATCCAAGGCCGCCCCTAGCTCAAGGGCTCTGGGATACAGTGGGAAAGGTGCTGAGAAGTGCTTATGGCTGGAGGTGCGCCAGGCGGGCTGGGTAACCCCTGTGGGGTGAGTGCTTAGACCAGGACCATGTTTGACAATGGCACATGAGAACGATTTACCAGCGGTATTTAACTGGAACTGCAGAAGAGCACCCACTGATCTCAGTGATGGGGATGCAGGAGAAAGAAGACTAGAGGTTGTACAGTAATAATCTCTCCCAGTTTCAAAGGGCAGCGCAGCCAACAAGTCAGTGTCCTAGAATATCGGCTCATTTAGAACCCACAACAGCCCTTAGAGGAAGCCAAGGCAGGCCTTAGCACTGGAGAAGATAAAATATATGAAAGTGGAGTAAACTGCCCCCAGATCACATGGCCAATAAAGGACAGCCCCCAGGACCCCCCCCCCAGCCAAATTTCAGTCTCCGGGCCCAGAGTGCCTTCAGCCATAAGTTGGGGAGATAAAAAGAGATGGAGGGCAGGTTCCAGAGAACCTTGTGCCCCAGAAAGGGACCATCGTCCCAGTTTGCTTGCCCATGGCACACTCAGGTGCTGCTTCCACCAGAAAACATCAGATCACGGGCAAGCCCTGGAGATGCCTCCCCAAGCAAAGCAGCCGGTCAGGGGCACTGGGAGCAGGAGGCCACCTGTAAACACCTGAGGAAAGGGCATAGGGGGCATCTTTGTCCTGGCCTCAGAATCTCAGGAGGAAAAGCAGTTAAAGGGTCTGTCAACTACCCACTAGGGGATGTTACCTAAAAGACTCAGTATATTAAAAAAAAAAAAAAAAAAAGGTGGGGGGCAAAGAGTGATTTTAAAGGTCTGGGGGAGAGACCACAGGAGTAAACATTTTAAAGGCTGTGCCATCCTGGTGAGGGCCGCTGGGGTCGCAGCCCCTGCCAGCCTGGGAGGGATCCTGCTGCCCTCCCCAGGGCTACTCGGTCTTGCATGGAGGAAGGGAGGAGAGAATCTGGTTCAGAGCAGGCACCTGGCTCCTCCCCATCCATGGGAAAGCTCTCCTTTGGGCCAAGGCCAAGGCCAATCAATGCCTGGAACAGAGCCCAGCAGCGCACATTGGGCACCCCCTTTGCTGCACTCACCGTCCACTGCTCCCCAGAAAGTTCAAACACAAATGGACTGCTCCGTTTGTCTCTCTCCTTGAAAAGTGAGCTCTGCCTTGCAAGGGTGTTCCTTTCGATCTTTTCCAGAAGCCTCACACTGGTGTCTACAAAGCCATTCTTGCAGTACTCAGCCTGGGGGATGCCTTTCCTCCTGCACTCGGCCACGAAGTTCCACTCCTCCTTTATCCTAAATGGACAGCAGAGGCCGAAGTCACGTTCCTGGGGAACCGCCCTCACCTGCCTCGAGTAGCCGGCAGGCCACCTGGGCACAGGCGCAGCCCTTCCCCAGGCCGGCAATTTCCCCACCGCCGCAGGAGACTCAAGCACCCCCACCCACTCACCCACCCAAACCTCAGCCCTCCTCCCTGCACCTCTTCTCTTGGTCCCTCTGCTGTGGGAATGTAAGGGGCCTCTTAAACCCTCAGAGTTGTGAATTATCAGCAACTTTGACTAAAAAAGTAGAGAAGGAGGATCAGGGCCAGCAAGAGACCACTGATTCAGAGCCTGGACCAACGCTGTTAAAGGAATCACAGGTGTTGAAACATTCTAGTAAGTGCTTATAGACTGTCTTTCCACCAGTCAAGAGTTGGTAGTGTTAGCAAAGGTTGGTAGCAGCACTAGAGTGTGGTCAATGTCAGTAATTCCTCAGGAGAGCTGCAATGCTGGGGTGGGTGGCTGGGGACACAGCCGGACCCTGCCAGTCACCAACCCTCTAGATCCCAACGGATTTTATAAAGATCATATGTATACAGTATGATCCAGACATTCTACTCCTAGGTATTTCTATAAGACAGGGGAAAGTGTATAACTATACAAAGACCTAGGCATATGTTCATATTATGCACCTTCACAGGTGAATGGATGGACACACGGTAGCTTATCCACACGTGGACTACTACTCGGCAATAAAAAGAAATGAACTCTTGATACACACTACCACGTGAATGAATCTCGGTGTCATCAGGCTGAACGAAAGAATCCAGACCCCCCCAAAAATTATTCTATTTATATAAAATGATTTGTAAGACTCTAATAAATGCAAAATCATCTACAGCGACAGGAAGGAGTGACTGCCCAGGCACCGAAGACAGGGGATGAGAGGAAAGAACCACCTAGAGTGAGGAAGAGACTTCTAAGATGATGACTATGATCCTATCTTGATTGTGCAAGTGGTTTTACGGAGATATATGTACATCAAACTTTTCAAATTGTATCCTTTAAATATGTGTAGTTTCCTGTGTGTCAGTTATGCTCCTCAGTAAGGCTTTCATAAAAAACATTTTGCGTGGGCGCCTGGGTGGCTCAGTTGGTTAAGCGACTGCCTTCGGCTCAGGTCATGATCCTGGAGTCCCGGGATCAAGTCCCGCATCGGGCTCCCTGCTCAGCGGGGAGTCTGCTTCTCCCTCTGACCCTCCTCCCTCTCGTGCTCTCTCTCTCTATCTCATTCTCTCTCTCAAATAAATAAATAAAATCTTAAAAAAAAAAAAAAAGAAACATTTCGTGGTCCCATTTTCATCACTCCTGCATCACTCCTCCATCCCTCTGCCCCTCTCTTGTTCTTTTGTGTGCACCTGGACAAACCTCAGTTTAGCTGGCATCCACCTCTCCCCCCAGCCCCTGGCTCTGCACCTGCACCCACCCAGGAGTGAGCGTGGAGGAAAATTCACTGCCTTGCAAACTGGCCTTGCTTTGAATGGTGACCCCTGACCCCAGGCCCCTCACCGCTGTCCGGCAGCCCTGCCACACTCCCAAGCTTGATCCTTTGCCCCAGGCCCTAGGTGACTCTTGTACATTTTCTCCCTTTCAAGCGAACCTCCATCAGTGCCTACCCCATCCTCCGTCTCAGAGCTCCTGGTTCAGGGAGGGAAGAAATGAAAGAGAACACAACGCATGGAACTCCCAGCACCACATCCACGCCACCTGCTCACATCTGTTCCTGTCAACTCTGCCTGTGCTTAGGCTGGTCGGTAAGAACTCTCCCAGATCCTCCCTGTGGTTACACCGCCTCCCGAGCTAAACCCAGCCTCTCACCTGCTCAAGGACTTCCTGCCCCTGGTTCTCTCCTGAGTATTTTCCTCCTGTGGATCATTCCCATTGATGCATGCACCACGGTTATTTCTCCCAACTTAAAGGGCAACACTGCCACCTTCACCCCCCACCTCTACCCCCTGCAACCTCATGTCTTCCATCAAGCCCGCTGCACTTTATAGCCAACCCCACGAAAGAGTTGTGCTGACTCACATCCACAGTTCTCCGTTCCCATTCCCCTGTTCTCTGTTGAACCCCCTTCACTCAGCATCCCCCTTCTTTGGAACTGTTTTCAAGGTCATCATGACCTCCACTTTGCTAGACGCCGTGGCCAAATCCAGTCTTCATCTTCCATCTGCAGCATTTGGCACAGCCCTTCCCCCCAACCCCCCATGAAGCCTGATTGCCACTTGGCTCCCAGGACCCCTCTCTCTGCCAATTCCACTCCTACCTCTCTAGTCGCCAGGCTGACCCCCCCCCAACTTCCCAACCTCCAAATCTCCAAAGTCCCAACACCCAGCCCTTGGGTCTCTGCCCTTCTCTATCTACACTCATTCTTTGGATATCTCCCAGTGCCGTGGTTTTAAATAGATCTGTATGCTGATGGTGCCCAATTATAGCTCTCTAGCCAAGACTGCCTCACTGAATCCAGACTCCTTGCTTCCCCTGTATCTCCAGCTGAGTGTCAAAAAAAGGGGTCCCCAAATTAACATGTTCCAACCCAAATTCTTAATCCTCACCCTAAAACCTGCCCCTTCCCCATCCCAGGCCAACCCATGCCTTAGTGTTCGCATTGCTCTTATGTCTGCCTGGGACATTTGTTCCTGAATTTCTGCAGGGCTGGCTCCCGAGGTCTATGTCACAGTTTTTGCTCTTCCAAAATGACTTTGGGTATCATTGGACTTTCAAGCTTGCCATTAAGCTGGGAGAAAGAGGAGCATTTTAAAAAAGTATTTTGCTGATGGCCCTGGTTAGCCCAGCTACCACCCTACCCAGATCCTAGTCACAGTGAGCTGAGCTGGGGTAGGCACTCAGCAATCAAGGAGGTAGGGCTTCAGGATCTACCTATGACTTCTCCATGTAATGTCATAAAAGGGATAAGTTTAAAAATTCCAGCACATGGAGAGAGATGAATTTAATACTGGGAGAAAGTGGTAGGATTGGCTTGGGATTGTTACTTTTCATTATTAGCGCTTCTGTATAATTTAAATATTTTAATACCATGTGATAAAAATAAATGTAAATACCTAGGGTCACCTGGGCAATTCGGTCAGTTAAGCATCCGACTCTTGATTTTGGTTCAGGTCATGATCTCAGGGTCCTAGGATCGAGCCCTGCGTCCAGTTCTGCACTGGGCATGGAGCCTACTTAAGATTCTCTCTCTCCGTTTTCTCCCCCTGCCCCTCCCTCTGCTCATGCACTCTCTCCCTCTCTTAAATAAACAATAAATATTTAAAAATAAATAAATAAATGAATGTAAATACCTGCTTATAGATCTAGATCTGATTGTAGCAGTCAAGGATGTGGGGCAGACCCTGGGTCTAAGACATGCGGATTGAAGGAATAAAAGAAATCCCCCCAAAATGGCAACAGCCAACAGCATGGCCACCGTTCACCAAGGCTTGTGTTCACCAAGCACTTTTCAGGTTAACGTCTCTTCTACCCCTCATTTCTTAGACCAAACCCGAAGGGCTACCCTGCCAATGGAATGGAACAATGCCCGTTAAGCCCTACAGAATACATCCTCCCTATATCACAAATAAACCAACATCAATGGCTCACATATTTTGGTGCAGCCAATATACAATGGAGAACAAAAGAATATTAGACACATCTCATTAAAAAGAAGCATAAACCAAATATTTTTTGGATTTCGTTTTAAATGTTTTCTATCCCATTCCCTCCAAAACCTCATGAGAATATAAGCTATTTTTTGGTGAGAGTCAAGATGAGACTATGAACTCTTTTTTTCAATTCCATTCTCTTCCTTGAGACTAATTAAAATAAGTAAACTGTCTGGCATAACATAGAGTTGTCAAATTGCTATGTTGTACACCTGAAACTAACGTAACATAGTGTGTCAGCCACATTTCAATAAGAAAAAGGGAGGGAGATCAAAATAAACAAATAAATAAACAAACTGTCTTTGTCTTTATACTTTATCACCCGTATAATTGAATTATCATCCTCTTGCATCAATTTTAGTAGAACTTCAAATACAAGACAGATAGACATGTAAAATGATGCCATTACAGTTCCACTAATTAAATCAGTAAATGTGCAAATAAAATGCTCTTCCCTTAAGAAAAGAACCCACAATCCTAGCCTGGATGGCAAAGAGCCTCCCTGGATGAGAAAAGTCTTCACTCAGAGCCTTACAGCGGTTCTTCTATTTCCCCCACTCAGTGACTGAGTTTCAGATAGAGTGCTAGTCTGTATTGTATCTCTGCTTATAACTTTTTTTTTAAGATTTTATTTATTTATTTGACAGAGAGAGATAGTGAGAGAGGGAACACAAGCAGGGCGACTGGGAGAGGGAGAAGCAGGCTTCCCGCTGAGCAGAGAGCCCGATGTGGGGCTCGATCCCAGGACTCTAGGATCATGACCTGAGCTGAAGGCACATGTTTAATGACTGAGCCACCAAGGTGCCCCCTCGGCTAATAACTTTTTTAAAAAGATTGTATTTATTTATTTGTCAGAAAGAGAGCACAAGCAGGGGAAGCGACAGGCAGAGGGAGAAGCAGGTTCCCCACTGAGCAGGTAGCTCAGTGTAGGGCTGGATCCCAAGACCCTGGGATCATGACCTGAGCTGGAGGCAGCTGCTTACCTGACTGAGCCACCCAGTGCCCCCTGCTTATAACTTTTAAGTTTTGATACATGCTTCATGAAACAAATACAGTCTTACAAAAATGAAGTACCATGAAGTGAGGTCACAGAGCAACCTAGAGTGTTTTGCCTGTTTTCATAAAATTAAATTAACCAGATAATTGCGTGTTCTGATTAGGATTTCACCAGCTCTTCAAAATATTGATTTCCCCACAGAAAACAGATCTTGAGAAACTAACGGTTAACCTTCAAATAGTATTAACAATCACAGTATGAATCATAGTATGGAAACTCAGAGACACCTGCAAAAAACGTAAATTTACTACATTCATTTTTTGCAGGGAAGCTAATCAGCTTGCTCCTTGAACCCCCACATTCCTTCCTCCACCATCCCGACTTCCTCCTCACCTGCCCAGCCAATATGATGGCTGTTTTTCTTATCTTGAGCTAGAAAAGCCTAACAAATCCCTAAGAAGTTTTCCGTCTTAGGGCAAGATAAGACGTGGCACAAGCCCAATTCAGGGCCAACCTGGTGTACGGGAGGTATGGGAAGCTGTCCACAAAGCCATTTAGCACCACAATGCAAGACAGAGGCCAGGAGGCAAAAACCACTCCAAAGCAACTGAGAGAACAGTTTGTGGACCCGGGCTCTCCGCAGATGCCTCCAGCTCCAAGAACCCTCGGGGTGGTGGGGGAGGTTTACACCAGCTACAGACACTTTCCCCAAACCCCCCAGGGCTTGGGTCCCCCTTCAGCAAGTTGTCCTACCCTAGAGTAACCCTAGATGCTAGGAGTGGGGAGGAGGTCTGAGCAGAGCTGAGAGCCACTTTGGGCTCACGGGGTCCGGGGACCTGTGTAATTCGTACTAGTGTAGATCACTCAGACCCATTACCGCAGGTGTTCCCCGGTCTGAGGTTCCAATTCTTAAATTCAAGATTCACATCATATTGGATAACCTCAGATTAGTGCAAGTGGAAAGAACGTCCCAACTATCTGAGATTGCAGCGTTGTGCAGGGGAAAGAGCTTGGTCAAATCCTCCACTTAGCAGCTGTGTCAGCTCTGGCAAGTCACTTAGGTCCCAACTTCCTTGTCTGCAAGTTGGGAATAAGGATAACAACCTGGAACAGCTGTGATGCTTACAGTAACAGCTTAATTATCAAGCATGATCAGAATAGGTATTGGTTTGATCCAAAGAGTTCATAAAAATGGAGAACTAAGAATAGAGAGACATTCACACCTTACACATTTGGTTTTTAACTTAAAGCACAGAAAAATATCAACCTTTGCCAACTTGAGATAGGGTCAGGGACCTCCTCCGAGAATGGGTCTGCCAATCAGAAATCCCTTTTAAGGGGATTTTAAGGGGATAAAGCCTTCCCTTTATAAACCACACCGTCCGCACATCATGCAAGAGCTCCAGTTTTGGTTCCTTCATAGGGAATAAAAAGTAGACATGCAAAGCCACCAGAATGTGCAACCTCTCCAACTTGCCATACTTTTTCGGATTTGTGCAGTGCTGAGTCAATTGTGTGGCTCATGGTTATCCCAAATGTAGTTTTTCCAAAGCGCTCAGCTTCATTTCATATACGTGTAACTCTCTTTTACTCCTATTTCATGAGTTTACATGAGCATAGTCAAATTACCTCCTCTCGATCCAACTAAAAATGGTGTCAGTACAGTGAGTCTTACCCAGCATTCAGCTCAACAGGTGAGGGTGGAAATGCAGGACTGCGAGTGACCTTGGGCTGCCCTAGGGCATGGTCTGCCCAGGTGTGGAAAGCATCAGAGGGCCTCGTGAGGCCAGCTGAGCAGCCTTCCACAGAGTGTACTGTAGAGAGTTTACTGTATCATGGCATCTCCCTCGTGCCAGGTAAAGTGCCTGGAATGCATGTAGGTCCATACACCACAGGGCGGGGGCGGGGGGGGCGGTCACTGTTATGGGAATCAGACATTCGCTCTGGGCAACAGTGGGATGGCTCTGAAGCCCAATGAGCAAGAGTCACTGAGAAATCCCAAAAGAAGGGCATCCTCCTCCACACCACAACCGCAGCCTGCCTGGTCCCCATTTGCTAAAGAAGCTACAGGTAAGGACAGAAAACACATACTTTTCCAATGCACTTTTCTCGAGCCTTTCTGCCTCCTTCTTCTGCCAAGCTTTGTGCTTCTTGACACGCGTTTCCCACAAGGCTCTGATGACAGAAATGTCGAACACGGCCACTTTGTGTCCCATGTTGGGAGCAGGAAATTACCTATTTAAGAAACATACATATGTCAGCTTCACACACACACAGAAGAAAATAGATTTAGCATGAACTTTATTTTTTTTAAGATTTTATTTATTGGAGAGAGAGAGAGTGCGCATGAGCCGGTGGTGGGGGGGAGGGGGCAGAGAGCAGAGGGGGAGGGAGAAAGACGAGCAGACTCCCTGATGAGCACGGAGCCCACAACACACACGGGGCTCGATCCCAGGACCCCAAGATCATGACTGGAGACCTGAAACCAAGAGTCAGACGCCCAACCGACTGAGCCACCCAGGCGCCCCAGTTTTAGCAAGAACTTTAAAATGAAACAAGAATGAATCCATCATCTTAAGTAATGATGAGATGCCCTATTAATTGCAAGATGGCAGTTTGCTAATGTTCTTAAAGCCTGATAGTACTCTGGGTAAGTCAAGTCCAACACCCACTCTGTGATTTCTCCTCTACAAGGTCACATTTGTGTCCCTACCTCTCAGCTGAATTGTGAGTTCCCAAAGCCCCCTGGGCCCTCCGCAAGCCTCATGGTTCCAGGTCTCCAGTTGTGATCTTGGGGTCCTTGGATCAAGCCCACGTTCTACTGAATTTTCTAGCATCTCATCTTCCCAATAGAGCTGTACCATACTCAACGGTACGTTTGTGAGTTAATCAGAACACACACACACACACACAAAACACACATACACACACTCCTGGTGACCTGAGTCTACACAGCAGTCACCGTTAAGCGACAAAACCAATCCTTGCACCAAGCGCATGAGCACTTTCCCAGCCAGGACTGACCACACCACAGAGCATGGGGAACTGTCCTGTGAGGGTCCCCTGCAACATGAAATCTCACAAGCTGCTGGTCTCTGTTTATGTGGTTTTCCAAGCGCAAGGAAAATCAAAGTCAGGTACATCTTGGCCCTTCATTGAAGTGAGACCCAGCACGGTGCCTAGCACACAGCAGGCCCTCCATAAATACTTGTGGAATCAACAAATGAAAACTGAATAAAAGGTTTGCATCCAGATTGCTCCCCTCTCAGGCTGCTCAACGAGCTTTCTCTCTTCTTTTTTATGTTCCCATCTTGCATCTTGTTTTTACTATTTGCTTTAAGTGATTATTTGCTCACAGCAAAAAAAAAATTATTAGGATGTAAAAGTACATTTTAATGTTCATTCCACTAACCTACACTGATCTCCCTTATCTAAAAATAACTTCCTAGTTATCGTTTTAAATTTCCCCTACTTAAGAGCACTGAAATCTGGCTCCATCCTTTTCCTGATTTGCATACACACACAGCGTGTCAGTTGGCAGGCAGATGACAGGGCTGTTGAATATTCTCTGCTCCAGTTCCAGATGCTTCTAAATGGCAGTCAGTGGGGATACAAAATCAAATATTTAATCTTCTGACTCAGCTGTGTACTCTATGAATGGCTTGCCATGCTGAGTGGGAGAGCCGGCTTCTGTTTGTGCAGTGGAATGCTGGAGAGCCCTCACTTTCGTCTAAGGAGCTGAAAATGCTGGCCCCGATTTACTTCTCTTTCCCTTCATTTCTGACATCTGGGACTGTCTTTTGTCTCCCTTAAAATTCTTTTACCTAAAGGAGATTTCTGACAAAGGTGCCTCTAGTGGTTTTGATTTGCATTTCCCTGACAGCTAAAGATGTTGACCGAACATCTTTTTACGTGCTTATCGACCATTTTTTTTAAAGATTTTATTTATTTTTTAAAGGCATTTTTAAATTCTATTTTATTATTTTTTTAAAGATTTTATTTATTTATTTGACAGAGAGAGACACAGAGAGAGAGAGGGAACACAAGCAGGGGGAGGAGGAGAGGGAGAAGCAGGCTTCCCGCTGAGCAGGGAGCCCGATGCAGGGCTCAATCCCAGGACCCTGGGATCATGACCTGAGCTGAAGGCAGCCGCTTAACGACTGAGCCACCCAGGCGCCCCAGACCATTTTTATACCTTCTTGGGAGAAATGTCTATCCAGATCCTTTGCCAAATTTTAAATTGGGCCATTTGCCTTTTTCTTGTTGACTTGTAATAATTCTTTATATATCCTAAGCACAGGTCCTTCGTCAGATACATGATTGCAAAACTTTTTCAATTCCATCCTTTTACTTTTAACCTAAGTATATGGTTATATTTGATGTGAGATTTGGCAGACAGAAGCTTTTTTTTTTTTTTAAGTAGGTTCCACACCCAACGTGGGGCTTGAACCCACAACCCTGAGATCAGCAGTCACATCCTCCACTGACTGATCCAGCCAGGCGCCCCTGTTGACAGAATCTTGTTGGATCATTTATTTCACACACTCCAACAATGTCTTTTCATTGGTGTATTTGGGTGATTTACATTTAACATAATTACTGATACTTTGCATTTAGGTCTAAATTCACTTATTACCTATTTTCTGCTTCACTCCTCTTTTGTTTTCCTCTTTACACGTTCAAGTCTTCCTTTGTGTTTATCTGAACATTTTTTTAGTATTCAATTTATTTTCTCTATTGTGTTTTGGACTATGTTTCTCCATGTAGTCTTTTCTTTTTCATGGTTGCCCTAGGGAGAATAAGCTTCCAGCTTCACTTCTCATAGTCCATCAGAAACAATATTTTAACCACTTGGAATGAGACGTGGAAACCTTACTACCACTGAGGTCACCTAGGCTCTAGCCTCGGTGCTGCTGTTGTCGCATGTCCCCTCTGGTAGCATTTCCCTTCTGCCTAAACAACTCCCCTCAACAGTCCCCTCAGGCAGAGGACATAGGCTGACAGATGCTCTGTTCCCCTTCTCCTGAATATCTTTTTTTCACCTTCACTCCTTTTTTTCTTTTCTTTTTCTTCACCTTCACTCCTGAAGATTGTTTTTGCTGAATAGAGAATCCCGAGTTCATTCTTTTCGCTCAGCACTTTATAGACACTGCCCGTTTCTTCTGGCCTCCATGGTTTCCCAAGAGAAATGTGCAGTTGTTGGAACCATAAGTCTTACAGAGGTGATGCATCGTGGTTTTCTCATTTTGTTGGTTCTCTCGATTTGTTGAGAACTGTTCCTTGTCTTTGGTTTTCCTGTTTAATTATGACAAATCTGGGCATGGATTTCTTTGGGTTTATACTGTGTGGGATTTGCCTAGCTCCTCTGGTCGGGAGGTTTTATCTTTTGCCAAATTTGGGGATTTTCAGCCATTTTTTCCTCCCAACTATTTTTTTTTCTGCACTGCCCTCTTCCTCCCTTCCTCCTGGGACTCGGACAACACAAATATTAGCCCTTTCAATACCGTTGTGTAGATTCCTGAGTCTGTTCACTTTTTTAGAAGTCTCTTTTCCTCTCTTTTTTCAGATTGGTAATATTCAGCAATCCATCTTCAAATGTCCCACCCCTTCCCTAGATCATCTCCATTATGTTTATGAATCTATCCAGGGAGTGCTTTTGTTTCAATGATTGTCTATTTTATTTCTAAATTTGCCCTTTGGTTCTTTATATCTTCTACTTGTTGCTGATCCTTTTATCTTTCCATTCACACCTGAGGGCAGAGGGAGAGGACCCCAGAAAGGACAAACTTGGAAGGTCTTCCAACCTCGTTTGAGAAGTTGCAGCTCAGCCCAGCAGACAGCAAGGAAGTCCTCTGGTTTGGTCAGACTGGTCTGGCTCGCTGGGCAACTCATAGCACCCACCACCCCACCCCCCACCCAGAGCACCGGTGGAAGGCCACGTGACCAGCCACCAGGGTTGTGCACATATGCAGTGGGGGTCCCGGGTCGCAGGAAACCTTCAGAGCACAGGGGCTCTATGAGGGCTCTGTTTTCTAGGTGGAAAGGACTGCAGAAAAGTTCTTGCTAGCCAGGGCTGGCTGGTTGCAAAGGACCAGGTTCTGGGCCAGGGGCTGGGGCCGGCTCCAGTAGCCGTGCCCCTGCCTGCCCCCTCCCGCCCACACTGGAAAAGGCAGGGGAACTCCTCCCATGGCACTGTCCCCCCAGGGCTCTCCCCTGAGAAAGTCTAACATGGAGTTCGCTTTAAAGGACTAGCACTTCAAGGAACAATGCTGTGTGTCACACAGTACAGATGTTGAAGGCTACGTTCAGAGCTGAGAGGCAGTACGTTGATGAATGACAGAGTAGGTGATCAGTGTGGTTCAGCTCAGACCTCACATTCCTTCCCCTGCAGACTGTCCTCCGATGGCTCAGTGCCATTCAGCTGCCCATGTCACCCCCCAGTGGCCGTCTGGGATGGAGGCCTTGGTCCACCCTGGCCTTCAGCTCAAACAGCAGAAGGCATGCTGATTAGGGTCAGATCCCCAGGTGCAGCTCAAGGATGAGCCCAGGAGCTCGAAATGACTTTATGGTTGTTCTCCAAGCTCTTCCCTCTCCTCAGTTCCCAGGGTTCTTCTAGATTTCTTTTTTTTTTTTTAAAGATTTATTTATTTATTTTGAGAGAGAGAGAATGAGAGACAGAGAGCACAAGCGGGAAGAGGGTCAGAGGGAGAAGCAAGACTCCCCACTGAGCAGGGAGCCCGATGCAGGACTCGATCCCGGGACTCCAGGATCATGACCTGAGCCGAAGGCAGTCGCTTAACCGACTGAGCCACCCAGGCGCCCCTAGATTTCTGGGGCTCCTTTTTACAGTCTTCTGGCCAGAGAACTGGGGCTTTAATCCCCCTGCTTTGCTATGCAACCTCTTTTGGGGGCCAAGTGGCAGGAGGGCCTGGGGAGAGAAAAAGCAGTGAGAGTTTTCTTCACCCTCTGGGGCCTGCAACTCCTCCAATCCAAAAGGAAAGACCCCTTTCTCAAAGTTTTGAGTGACTGAGGCCCTCCACTATCAACCTCCCCCCGCCATGCCCCTGTCCCTCCTGTTACTATTAAATCCTTTGGGGGCTGAGGCATGACAGGATGGAGAAAAGAAGAACAGAGATTTGCCCGCACTCTCTGAGCATGAGGGGTCCCCTTTTCCACCTGTGGAGCAATATTAGGCATCCTGTGCCCAATTCTGGGTTCTAGGCTGCTTTGA